AAGAATGGTGCCACTTGAGCATTAGCCAGTTAGGCTCAGTGGATGGAGCATCGTCCCACAGACTGAAGGGTCTTGGGTTTGATTCTGGTCAAGGGCACTTACCTCAATTGCAGGCTCCATCCCCAGCCCTGGTTGGGGCATGTGTGGGAGGCAGCCAATGGATGCATCTCTCAAATCGACGTTTTTCTCTCTCTGTTTCTCTCCCCCTCCCTTACACTCTCTCTAAAAGTCAATGGAAAAATAATATCCTTGGGTGAGGATTAACAACAATAACAACAAAAGAATGGTGCCACTTGATATCAAGAATTGAAGCTAAACTTGAAGATTTCCAGAGATTCTCCAAGGAACAGAAAACTAAGGAAAGACCAGGGACTTTTGTCATACCTCTGGGAACAAACAGAAAGCAGAATCCTAGATGTAAGAAGTGAGCGAGGAAACAATGAGGACTCCACACAGCAGTCAATCAGCGCCTTCAGGGGACCATGAGGGAGGGCAAAACCCACTGAGGGAAAGAGAAGAGGAAGAGAACAAACACTTCTTGAATGAATGTCTAATCTGGGCACCAAAACCTTGAGATTAACATTGACAGAGCACTTTTATTTCATCCTGACAATACTGTTTTGAATAGCTAATGTTACCGATGGAGTCAGGCTAATCAATCTCACTCCCAAATCAATGCTCTGTCCAGGCAATTTAAGAGGAGGGAGGATGTCATACAACCCCTAAGCATAAGCTGTGAACAAATTTGTTCACTTCTGAAGCATTTGCAGAAGAGCATCAGGTGGAGAAAGGCCTTCTGACACTTGACTACCCTCTCTGGTCATATCAATTATTTGAAAGCAAGGAAGGAAATAGCAATTGCTTTATTTCCTCTAAAAGTACCTTCAGGATTCGAATAAAACTTCATAGTATTTTACAAAACACAGAAAATAAGAATGCGCTCACAGATGACCAAGTCGATTTCAGATTCCAGGATCTCCATCTGAGAGGTCCTGCCAGCCGGCAATGTTAGAACTCGGGTACTCACAAAAGGTGATGTGGTGAAAACTTTGAAGTCAGCCACAATTTCAAAGGAAATCATAAAAATATGCTCCCCTCTGGTTTGGTTTGGTTTTGATCTAACACGACTTCAACAAAGAATCTGGTGTGAACTCAAAGGAAACCTTAACTTTTGAATTTAAGTGGAATGTTTGTGTAATACAGGTAAGCCTCTTTGTTTTTGTTTTGTGTTGCTTTTGAGTCAAAGGTGTGTACTGCTGACATTTACAAATAATAGCTCTTTGAGATGAGTTTGATTGTGTAAAAATTCAAGGTGGCTGCTAACTTTGGGTTTCTTGTTATGGCTGTTTTTTGTTGGTTTACTATTTTTCATCACTGGTCAATACCTGCAGGGAGGAGAGGCAGATCCAGGCTTAAGGATCCTCTGCTAAAATTTCCTCAAAAACACTGAAGTCGATAAAAGCACCAGAGTCCAATTACAAGATATCAGTTAATTTCACAAGCTCTGAGGAGCAAAGGGAAGTGGTTTCCTTTCAGATGCTCTGTCTGTGAAATTCCTCTGGGTGGGTTTTCTCTGTGTTTTAACCTGGCAATAAGTTTCCTATTGACATAAACCTGTCCTCTTGCTATAGAGACCCAACCCTGCCTCAGATGTTAATTGAATTTAGGGGGGGAAAATATTTGGATTTCTATTAACCCAATAAATGTTTTTTCTTGGGTAGAACTATATAAAATAACTGATACTGAAGTTTTGTGTGTGTGTGTGTGTGTGTGTGTGTGTGTGTGTGTGTGTTTTGTTTGTGGTTGTTTTGGTTTTTTTGCTTTAAAATCGCAACTTCATATGCTGCAACATGATGTATTCCTGATACTTTTACTGGGAATAAGTTTCCCTCACTGGTAACTCTACAGCTCAGTAAGATTCCAGAGTATATTCTTGTTTATAAAAAAGAATATAGAACATTGGTATGAGAGATTATCATCTATCATTTTGCATGTGGTAATATTTGAGTATTCTATCAAGCACTTACTTTTTAAAGTTTTGTTTGCTTATTTAACAATTATCATTGAGCATCTTAATATATAAAAACCCAGGGTCTGTAACGACCAACCGAAGGCTCCACTGAACACAGGAATCAGTCCTGCAGTCAGTGCTGGGTTGCTGTGGGGACGCAGCACTTACTGCCGAAGGGGCTGCAGATCAGGCCCAGAGAGAGGTCTGGAGAGAGAGGCAGGGTCTGATCTGCAGCCTCCGTGGCAGCTGTTGATCAGCCCTTGCCTCTCTCTTTCTTCCCGGGCTTCACCAGCAGCCAAGTCTCTGTTTCTCTCTGGGCCTTAGCGGGGGCTGCTGATCAGCCCCGCCTCTCTGATCAGGACCAGAGACAGGCCTGGAGACGCTGACTGGCATAGAAACTGACCAATCAGAACCAAATTAGCCAGCAGGGGGAGGGCAGTTGGGGGTGATATCAGGCCGGCAGGGGAGGGCCATGGGGGCAAGATCAGGCCAGCAGGGGAGGGCAGTTGGGGGAAGATCAGGCCAGCAGGGGAGGGCAGTTGGAGGCTAGATCAGGCCAGCAGGCAGAGGCAGTTAGGGGTGATCAGGCAGGCAGGCAGGTGAGTGGTTAGGAGCCAGTGGTCCCAGATTGCGAGAGGGATGTTCAACTGCTGGTTTAGGCCCGATCCCACAGTCAGACATCCCCCAAGGAGTCCCTGATTGGAGAGTGTGCAGGCTGGGCTGAGGGAACGCCCCCATGCACGAATTTCATGCACTGGGCCACTAGTCTACTATAATAGGGTAGTTTTTTTTTATTTTTTTATTCTTTATTGTTGAAAATATTACGTATGTCCCATTTTTCCCCCATTGGACCCCTCCAACCCATCCCTGCTCCCGCTCCAGGCCCTCACCACCTCATTGTTTGTGTCCATGGGTTATGCATATATGCATGCAAGGTCCTTGGTTGATTACCTCCCTATAATAGGATAGTTTTAAAATATAGAACCTAGAGTAAAATTTCCTGGAATCCAATCCTGGCTCTTCTACATGTCACTTTCTATATCAATTTATGACTTCATAAAAAGTTCCTTTTTTTTAAAATGGAGAAATGATGATGATATCTGACTCTAAATTGTATAGATTAAGTGAAATGATAACTGTGCCTCATAGTACCTGGCTTATAGTAACCATGCAGTAAATGTGAATAGAACAAATAATTCCATTGTCCCAGAAGCTTACAGTCTAGGAAGAAGTCAGAAATAAATTATCATAACTTATAAGTTTTGTAAAGGATAGCTGCGGAGTCCTACCGGTATAGGAGTCTTACAATCAAGAAAAGCTTCCTTTGGAAAATGAGAATTAAGCTGAGGTCTGAAGGACGAACACTAATGAATCTAGTGAAGGTGTGGTGGAAAACATTCCAGCAAGAGGAAAATCCATGCCCTACTTTTGAGGTCTTTTAAGCCAGGTAAATTCCTCTAAATGGAGTGAAGCCATCGTATAACGATGCCGCATAACAGAAAATGTACTCTAAGATGACCATACCTGGTGTGGCCTGGCCAGCATGATTCAGTGGCTGAGTATCGACCTGTGAACCAGAGGTCCATTCTGGTCAGGGCACATGCCTGGATTCCAGTGTGAGGTGTGCAGGAGGCAGCAGATCAGTGATTCTCATCATTTATGTTTCTGCCTCTCTCTCTCACTCTTCTTTCCTCTCTGAAATCAATAAAAATGTATTAAAAAGAAAATACCCTGTGTGACTTACTCGTTTTGTGACATAAATGAAAACAAATACTGTTTACCTGAAATTCAAATATAATTGAGTATCCTGTCATCTTTTTTACTTTATTTAATTTTATTTTTTTATGTATGTACTAGAGGCCCGATGCACGAAATTCTTGTACTCTGGGGGAGCGGGAAATCTCTCAACCCAGCCTGCACCCTCTTGCAGTTTGGGAGCCCTCAGGGGATGTCCTAAGCACTCAGGGAGCGAGCCTAAGCCATCAGTCGGACATTCTTCGTGCTGCCGTGGAGGCAGGAGAGGCTCCCGCCACCGCCGTTGCACTCACCAGCCATGAGCCCAGCTCAGGGCTTCTGGCTGAGTGGTGCTCTCCCTGGCTGAGTGGCAGCTCCTGTGTTGAGCATCTGACCCCTGGTGGTAAGTGCATGTCATAGCAACCAGTTGTTCCCCCATTTGGTCAATTTGCATATTAGCCTTTTATTATATAGGATGCTAAATATGACAGCCTGGTAAAATATAAACACTGTTCCTGATCAGTTATAACTTAAAGTCCAGGGAGCAAGGCTAATCAAATAATCTTGAAGGTAAATGAAAAGTTTTAGCTGAGATGTGTTACCAAGGGTAGGTACAGAGCCCTTGAAGGAGAAAATAATCAGGAGAGAAGTCTAGTCGGGAAGGGGAGACTCCTTGTCAGTCAAAGTAATGGGCCTGAGGGTCTATGGGGAAGAAAACAGAAAGGTTCTAACACTGACTTTTAAAGGACAATTTTACATTAAAGGAGGATGTGTCTAACTTTAATGGTGCCAAGGGTAGAAGGCCTAATGCTCATCGTAATGCAGAAACAAAGCCTTGTTTCAGGGGCCACCCAGTGTCTGTCATATTTGGCCTCTGACTAATAATGAAGCCGGAGTCTGCACATTTTAGCCCTGTAGGTAATGGTGATACAGGAGAGTTCCATTTTAACATTCTGTTCCTAACACTAGGGACATTTTCTAGGATAAGAGAAAAAAGAGTTGCTTGTCCTGTTAGGCCTCTGGGCTTTGCTCCTGCCATAATTGAGCGGGAACAGCATGGTTCTAAGGAAGAAGGGAGACTTATTCAGCACAGGCTGGTGGGAAAGACACAAATCTGTGACCCACTCTGCATGGGTGTTGCCAGACAGCAGTGTTGCAAGTGACCCCACCCTGCATTGCCTCTGGCAGGATTCTGCCTCTCAGACTTTCCCAACTGCCAAGCTTCTGATTCCTCCCTCTTTCCCAAGTTTCTCCGTGCATGCAATATAAAAAATGGTCTTGAATAGTTTGCATTAATTATTCAGCTTTTGAATATGATCATTGTTCATCATCATCCTCATAACGAGAATAGTTCTGCCACAGGTTGGTATATTTATTCCCCCATGTTCAGGCTGCTGTAATTCTCTTATTTATCTTGATGATGTCTGCTCTGAGACCGATGTTTATGGATGTGGAAAACTGAACTGAGTGTCTCTAGGTGTGTTGCCTGAGTCCTTTTTCTGACACAATCCACATCAGGGTTGACTGCTGACAGTCTCCTAGCTTTGTTGGAAGCTGTATTGAGCTAGTTAGGAGTGCAAAGGACAAACTGACTGACTGAAAAATAATTATCTAGAAAAAATGTTAGTAAGTATAAAAATATTAAAACACTAGGTATGTAGTCAATTAGCTAAAACTTATCAAAAATAAACTGACATATGTAACTATGTCAAAAGTGCCACCTGTGAATTTATAAAATTATGAGATTCTTCAATTTTATAATCATGGAAAATAGTATTTTATTATTGACTACAGCATTTTAGAGCTCAAGGGTATCTATCATATGCTCTAAATTTACTAATGAATTATGAGTATTAGAAATCTGCAAATATGGGACTATTTAAGTTGTTTTCTAAAGAATTATGAAGTATTGTTGAATTTTAGTAGTGCTGTGTATCCCTTTCGTAAGAACTAATGCCTGTGGGGGAAATTTTAAGCAATCTGTGGTTTTAATATCTCAACTTCTTTGTATAGCACTGTTTTCAGAATAACAATATTTTTCATAATTATATATATCTGTTATTTTATAGTAATTCAATGTGCCTTTGACTTGAAGGAAGGAAGGAAGGAGGGAGGGAGGGAGGGAGGGAGGGAGGGAGGGAGGGAGGGAGGGGGAAGGAAGTGGAAGGGAAGGGAAGGGAAGGGAAGGGAAGGGAAGGGAAGGGAAGGGAAGGGAAGGGAAGGGGGTGTTAGTGTTACTGGGCTCTGGCTTATGTAGATTTATCAATACCAGATTCCCCAATTCTGCATAACTTTATTGGTTTCAATCCCAAATTTCAAATGGCTTGGAAAAATCCTCTTAAGATTTGTCCTGTTGCCCTAACCGGTTTGGCTCAGTGGATAGAGCATCGGCCTGCGGACTCAAGGGTCCCAGGTTCGATTCCGGTCAAGGGCATGTACCTTGGCTGCAGGCACATCCCCAGTAGGGAGTGTGCAGGAGGCATCTGGTTGATGTTTCTCGCTCATCGATGTTTCTGACTCTCTATCCCTCTCCCTTCCTCTCTGTAAAAAATCAATAAAATATATTTAAAAAAAAAAAAAAGATTTGTCCTGTTGCTATTTTGTTTGTACTGTTGTTGTATCTTCATTTTAATATTTTCTCAAAGAGTCTTAGCAAAGTTAATTTTGATTATGCTCCTTTTGCATTACTAAGAAGGAAAGATGACCTATATCATATTTTAGTGCAGACTCGCTGTTGACTCTTTATAATAATTACATTTCAGCAATCAGCAGTAGTGTCTTCAAATGCCTTGGAGTTACTTCACTTGTCATGATTCAACTTCATTTTTCAGACTCTTATCTGAAATTAAACACTGTCATGATGATATGGTCTTGGAATGTGTCATAGTTAACACTACCTTCTCTCTGTCATTTCAACTTACACAGAGAGCTACCAGAGAAAGGGACTAGATTCTGATTAATTAGTTGAAGACTTGTCATCTGAGAAGAATAATATTTTAGATGTTCTTACTAATCTATAAGATCATATTTCTAAATGGGAATACTGGAATAATAATGCTTACAAAATTCCAAGTTTTATTTTACCTGAAGGAAGTAAATTTCTCTTGCAACCTTTTAATCATCCGTGACAATGTCACAGTTTTTTTCCTAAAGGTTGTCATTGTTAGCACTTACATTCATAGAAGGTTCTAATCCAAGTTGGGAGCCATTAAGACCTTGGGGGAGAAGGGGGCAAAAAAAAAAAAAAAGACTATTAGCAGAACATTCAATAAGGATATTTTAAAACATTAATTCCAGCAATGGGAACCTATTGCAGATCTATGCATTGGTGTTTGCAATACTTCTTTCCAACAGTCCTGCAGAAGGTCACAATAGTAGAGGCCTTTCTCACACACTGACACACTATTCAGCTAGCTTAGTTTTTTATCTCCTTTCTTCAACTCAAATGGATTTGGTAAGAATTTGCTATGTGTCATACTTCTCCTCATAAACAGTGATGTGTCTTTGGACCAACACCAAAGTAACTATGAGAACATATGGAATAGACTATCAAGAAAGGTGTTTTGTAATTAGGAGGTATTATATGTTGAATGCTATAAACTTCTGCACATATTTTAAAGTTGCAAGATGAGCATTTCCTCTCTGGTATATGAGATACCATACACACTCTAACGAATCAGAATGTTTCTGTAAATGTGAACATTTCGCTCTATTGCATTGATTATTGACTCATCATGATATTTCTTCAGGCCTAAAAAAAAAATAGACAGTAACAAAATAGATATTTCCAGCTCACGTGAAATCATGGTCTTGAAGTGAATCAGTCATAGAAAGATATTCTTTCTAAAACTTCTGATTTATTCAGCTGGGTGGATCCCAAATAATAAGACTAGTCCTGAAAACAACATTCAATTAATAGGCCCAAAGAGAACTGACTTGGGTGTTTAAAAATTAAAATTAAACATTGCTTTATGTTAAATTCCTATATTGGATTTAGTTCTTAACAAAAGTATCTATCAGAGGCAACTCATATCATCTTAGTTTAGTGATTTGGACTAGGAGAAAATAGTGGGAGATGAAAATTTAAAATCTAATAGAAACCGAATCATTTTCTTTTTTTTAATCATGCTCAAGGCCAAACTTTTATTATTGTGAAAAAAAAGAAATAACTTCTGTCAAGTTTTATATGAAATTATAAATATTTCCATGATGTAGTTGGTTTTGGGGGAATTATTTTGTTCTTTTTATTTTTTCGTTGCTGTTATGTTTGGGTTTTTGAACCGAGGATTATATGTTGAGTCTCAACAATGATAAATCATGACATTTGGAAAGCCATGTCAAGAGCAATGTGGTTCAGCTAATTTTAAGTATCTGTTTGTTTGCTAATAGAACACCTAGATATTGAAGTTTAACCTAATGCCAGCAATGCAAATAGAAAGCATTCTTGGCCTAAAAAATTGCATCTTGGTATCATATCATACCAGAGGTGAACATACAAAACTACCAACTGTCTAAGAGATTAGAAATCTTCAGCTAAAAATAACCATTACATGGTGGACAAAGACTTGACTTGGGGTGGTGAACACACAATAGAGTGTACAGAGGATGTGTGTGGAATTATGCACCTGAAACCTGTATAATTTTGTTAATCAGTGTCACCCCCAATCAATTTAAATAAAAGGGGAAAAAAAGAATAAAAAATAACCATTACACATTCCAATTTAGAAAGATAAGCATGGATATTGAGATTCTCGATGTGGGGAAGCCTGGAAAACAGCCCACTAACATAGACCATCACTCCCAATCTTTTTATTTCTGTCATTGCTGCCAGGCTCATAACGCGAAGGGCTAATACAATATTTCGTTAGGCCTCTTAAGCAACAGGCACCTTTTTTCCCTCAGCTGTTTCCAAACGTGCCTGATCTTTATCACCTCCTTCTCATGGCACTTTAGCAGGCTACTTGTGTTCCCTGTCTATATTCCTTTTCACCAAAGGGGAAAATATTGCTTGCGGAGTCTGTATTGATCTTTCTAAAAAAATAGATAGGTGATAGATAAATGATGGATACAGAGGAGTGTATTACAGTCATTGACTCTTTTCTTCCTTTTGTTCTTATTTTTATCTGCCACACCTTCGAATGTTCAGCTTCTCTCTATACAACTAAGTTCTAAAATGCTTACGTTCAAGTGGAGTTGAACCACTTCCCTGAAGCTAACTCCAGAAATTCACACTTAAATGTCTTTTCTGTACTGTCAGCATTTCCATAAAATTTTATGAAATGGCCAGTATCTATACATCTGTTTTCTGGTAGCTTATTGTATGTAAGTTAAATTAGAGAGGAACTGATTCGTATACATTTTTTCTTATCCCACAAATCAGAGTTTCTTATGGTTTATAAAATCAATTTAGTTAATTGATGAGTCATTTTTTGAAAAAAATGAAAGGCATTACAATGGAAAATATCAGAGAGTGGTGAATGGAGCAAGGATCAGAATTGAATGGCAAATCTTTTTTTCTTTTATCAAATTACATTTATTGGGGTGAAACTTATATAAAATTATATAAATTTCAAGTGTCAATTTTTATTAGAGAAAGAAATATTTGTATTTTGCATTTCAGTGTAAAATGTATTTTTTACTGTGGATCATAGTTAGAAATGTGTGTTTTTTTAAATTTATCAAAATCATGTTTATACTCATTTATATGTAAAGGTATTCATTCATTCAACGTGCTGAGTATACTGAAAATATAAAAAGGAATAAATGGTCTCTATCTTTGAGGACCTAGCAGTCTTAAGAGAAACTGCTATGTATACAAACCATTTTAGTGTCATGTACATGAGTTCTAGAAGGCAGAGTACAGATAATTCTCTGGGAATGCAGAAGAAGAAGTAACAGCAGTTCCTTAAGAGTCTCTTGTTTACCCAAATTCTTCATTCTTCTGGTGAGAAATCAGCAAGCTAAGTTTAATTAAAACATTTTTTAAATTATTAGTCTCATGTTCATTTTCTTCTCTCCTTTAAAATGTTATATGATCATCGGCAAATAGTGGAACAGTAATATAAAATTTTGTGTGGTGAGGTTGTAAAAATAATAAATTTCTTTTCAACAAGCTTGAATTACTCTTAACAATGGATAGTATTGTTCTTCAGAAAAGCTATATCTATATTTTCAGAAAAGCTATACTAGTGAAACAGAGAAAGAAATGACCTCCATAAAGCTCTTTTATGAAATGAGAAAACTTGGTGGGAGTAAATCATCTCTTTTAATCTTTTCTCATGTAATTAAAATAATGCACAAACATAACATGTGTACACAGGGAGCTCCATTCCATATTGATAAATATTGGTGCCCAAAATAACATGTCAATGAGTCAAACATATTTGGTAAATGCAGCAGATTTGAAATAATAGAGGCTGGCTCTCGGCTTCCGTTTTCGTGTCCCTGAAATGCAATGTACTCAGGTTGATTGGATCTACATTGAGAGCCAAATAAAGAAATCTTTTTCATAAGATGCTTTTAAAAACACTTGAGAGTCTCTTTGACATAGCAAAAATTAGAGTTCCAGTCAGACTTAAAAAAACAACACACACAGTGGAGTGTCCTTCTGCAAACATAACCAAAACATGCTACCAATTTGTAAGTAGAGTGCCTTCCTGAAACCTCATTAAACATACCCTGAGTGTGTAACCTATCTGTTTCCTTGGATTCTTAGTACATGCTTTTTGAATAAGTGGTGTTTATTCTTTCTCCAGCTTTAATTAATTTCTGTCATTATTCTTCATTTGGAATCCATTAGAACATTTTATATGTTCTGGTTCCAATGCATAATTTTAAAGTATTCTGGACAGTTAAATGGCTGTGCATACTGCCCTTCACTACACTATTGTATTGATAGAGCTTATTTTCTGTTATGCGGCGTGAAGCCTTTTACACAACACGTTGCCCATGGCTAAATCATATCATAAAGTCATGAGGAACTATTTGCATTGAAGAATCACAGTCCAAAGTCCAAGTCTATATTAAGAGGTTAGTCCAATGATCTAAAAAAAAAGAAAGAAAGAACTCTCCATTTTATTTAACTATATGAAACAGCCTGACATTTTATTAGTTAAATGTCAACAAATTACATTTAAATTAATAGTAAGTATAAACTCTAGTAATAAAATCTCCAGGTCATGCCCTGGCCAGTTTGGCTCAGTGGATAGAGAGTCAAGGGCATGTACTGTACTAGTACTTTGGTTGCAGGTTCCTCCCAGACCCAGGCCCTGGTCGGGTTCTTGCAGGAGGCAACCAATCAATGTGTTTCTTTCACATCGATGTTTCTCTCTGCCTCTCCCTCTATCCTCCACTCTCCCTAAAAATCCATGGAAAAATATTCTCAGGTGAGGATTAACAAACAAACAAACAAAAATCTCCAAGTCACGCCACTAGTTTTGGTAGTGACATTGTCTAGTTTTATTTACTGAGAAGTCTGATTTTTCTCATGATAAATATTGTGTGTGTTTGTGGGTATGCTATAAATCTATGAGAAATTTTATAAGATCTACATAAACTTGTTTTATATGTTGAAAATATCTATTTGTTTCCTTAAAAATTTTACTTGTTAGTTGATGTGAACTTTTCTATTTTATATGACTAGCACATATTTCATAATGTAGATTATCTTATTTTTTGCAATACTTCGATTGATGGATATTTAAGTTCCTTCTTTTTTAAAAAAAAAAAACTTTTAACTATAATCATTGGGAATTAAATTTTATTTTATTGTTTTAATTGATTTTAGAGAGAGAGGAAAGGAGAGGGAGAGAGAAACATCAATTGGCTGCCTCCTGCTGAGCCATGACCGGGTATGGAGCCCAAAACCTGGGCATGTGACCTGACCAGGAATCAAACCAGTGACCTTTCAGAGCATGAGACAATTCTCAACCAACTGAGCCACACAGCGGGACAGGATGGGAATTAAATTTTATTGAGCACTACTTACATCTCAGTATAGACTTGGTTCAACAATATGCAGAAATTTCAAATAGTTCTAACTCATTCCACCCCACCTATCCCCACCCCCCTCCCGACATACATATCAAGATGTTCAGGGTTAAGGTTAGTTGGTGTTTTTGCAGTGTGAGTATATCAGGGGGAAATGTACTGAGATTCTCTTAGCCTTTCCTTCTATGTCAGAAAATGGCCGTTCCAGCTTCAGCCCTTTCAAGGCAGATGAACAAAAAATACAACATGCGAATAGGACTTATGCCCTTGTTGAGGTGCTTTCCTGAAAACCATAGTGTTATGCGCTGCATTGTGTTACCCCACAATTCATATGTTGAATTCCTAACTCCCAGTATCTCAGAATGTGACTGTATTTGGAGAAAGGGAATGTTAAAGGGCAATGAAGTTCAAAGGAGGTCGTGACAGTGGACCCCAAACTAATGACTTGTTTCCCCTTACAGGAAGAACAGATGAGGACACAGACACATGTAGAGGGAAGGCCATGTGAAGAAACAGGAAGAAGGTGGTCTTCTACAAGCCCAGGAGAGAGTCCTTAGAAGAAATTATTTCTACTGACACCCTGGCCTCAAACTTCTAGCTTCTAGACTTGTGAGAAAAATAAATTTCTGTTGTTTAAATACTCCATCTGTGGTATTTTACGGCAGCCCTAGAAAACGAATACACATACTCAGTGAGTTTTTTTGTTTACCTCACATTTACCAGAAATGTGTCACTTGCCTATCTTTAGATGCAAGGAAGGCTGGGAAATGTACCATAGTTTTTACCTGGATTATATTGCTGCTCCTATCAACACCCAGAGTCTGGTACTAAGGGAAGAGAATCTAGTAGATAATTGGGCATTCTGTGCTGATTCCAAACTTTTTACTTGGATAATCTTATTTAATCCTTTTAACAAGCCTGTGAAATATTTCACAGATGGATAAATCAAGGAGTCAAACAGAAGTATTGCAAAGAATAAGGTAATCTACACTATGAAATATTTGGTAGTCATATAAAATAGGAAAATTCACATCAACTAACAAGTAAAGTTTTCTAAGATCTATTGTGAGGTAAAAAAGTGAAGTTGCAGAGAATATATTGCATTTATTTTTAAATTATACATAAAGTAAATATGAAAAGATGCTCAGCATTTATCATTAGGGAATTGCAAACTAAAACAGCATGAGATATCACTGCCCACTTATAAGACTGGCAGAAATTCAAACACTGACAACGCCAAATGGCTGCAAGGAGGTAAAGCAACAGGAACTCTCATTCACTGCTGGCGGAAATGCAAAATGGTTTGGCCACTTCTGAAGATATTTTGGCAGTTTCGTGCAAAGCTAAACATCAGCTTACTATAGTTATAGATCAAACAATTGTACTCAGTGAGCTGAAAACTGACATCCACACAAAATATATACAAATGTCCAGAAGGCCATGGTACACGATCATCAAACACTGAGCACAAACAAGAGCTCTTTCAATAGGTGTCTAGACAAACTTATAACATCATATAATGAATTATTATTCAGTAATGACAAAAATGAGCTATCAACCTTTGAGCAGACATAGAGGAACCTTAAATGAAAGAAGTCGATCTGAATAGGTCACGTACTGCACGTTTCCACAAATACATGAGACCTTGGAAAAGTTGAAACTACAGTGATGGTAAGCAGGTCAGTGGTTGCCAAGGGCTCAGTATGTGGCAGAGAAGGACTGATTGAATATGTAGAACACGGCGGGCTGTGGGGGGAATTTTAGGGCAGGCGAAAATATTTTGAATGATAAGATAAGGTGTTTAGCATAAGTTAAAATCTACAGAATTTTATAGCACAAAGAATGGATACACATTTTATGAAATTACTTCGCAGTTTAGGGATCCCAGAATGAAACGCAGAAAGTGACAAAGGAATTTAAATGTATTACAAATCCCAACTGTGGGGAGAGTCTACTAGTACAGGATATCTAACCAATAATCTGCAAAAGTGTCAAGGTCATCTAAAATAAGAAAAGGCTGAGAAACTGTCATCACAGAGAGAGCCTAAGGAGGCATGACTATTAAATTTAATGGGGTTTCCTGGATGGGATCCTAGAACAGAAAACGGAAATTAGGACACAGTTGAGGGGAAAAAAGGCAAATCGCACATGCCCAAGTTGCAGGCTTGATCCCCAGTAGGGGGCGTACATGGGACAGCAGATCAATGATTCTCATCATTGATGTTTCTACCTCTCTCCTCCTCTTCATTCCTCTCTGAAATCAATAAAAATATATTTTAAAATTTTTTTAAAAAATTTAAAAACTGGAGACAGAAGATGGCGGCGGTATAGGCAGACGCGTCCCAGGTCGTGTCCCGGAGCAAATGGAGTGAGCAGCTGAAACTAGTAACATCCACCCCGAATTGGCGAAATGCTCAGCTGGTGAGACGGTTTGCAGCCAGGAAGAGCAGAACTCCCCTGGAAAGGTAAAAAAAACAGGGATTTGGGCAGGAAAGTTTGCCAGACCTCTGAGCCCAGAGAGTCAGAGGGAGACCGCGTGGCAGACAGCTGCATCCCTTGGGACAGGCACAGCCCCTGACAGGGGAAAGGAGAACCGCGGGATTCCTGGCGCCGCCGGGGGAATTGAGAGCTGGGTTCTGTGATCACAGAGGACTGAGCCTAAAGGGGGCAGCCTGAAGAGCTGACCAGACCATGCAGTCCCGGTAAGAGAAGAAGCTTACAGAAACCAAGCCTTCCCCGTTTCCACGGCCGGTGTTTGTTTGTTTGTTTTCACTGAATCCTGTTCATGGGACATTTCGGATACAGACACTCACCTGTGCTGAAGAAAGGGAGAGGGTGCGGAGGAGTGGAATCTGGGGAGAGACTGAGGAGAGAAGGGGGGCCGGGAGAGGTGGCAGAGAATTGAGTGCTGAGACACCCCTGAGCCCGGGACTGAGGCAGCCATTCTCTCCGGAGAGTGAGACTCCTCCCCCCAGCCCCCAGGCAAGGAGCACAGCCACACCCAGATTCCACCCTGTAGGAGATTAAGGATTAAAATAACCTGATCAGTCCCTGGGAGTTAACAGGGTCTGGCCTATAGAGGGATTTTCAATCCCAGCAACAACACAGCACTGGTAACTATTACGCAGCCAGCTCTGGGCAGTGAACTTCCACTGGACAGAGAGGCCCTATAGCCTCAGAGGCCAACCCCAGAACACTGCCACCCAGAGGCTGACCCACAAACTGACTCTTTGCTAAACACAAAATCAGGCAGTCTGGGAAACAAATGCGGCTTGCTTTAAAATAAGGACTGTGGTTTACAACACAGAGGAACAGTGTATCGCAGGGAAACTCAACACTCTCCTGAATACCTGGCAGATCTAAGGCGAGCCACACTGAAGAATAGAAGAACCGAAGGACCTTCACTACTGCAATTTTTTTTTTCTTTTTTCACCTTTTAACTAAGAAACCAATTTTTTTTCTTTTTTTTTCTTTTTGTTCTTTTCTTCTTTTTTTTTCTTCTTTTTTCCATCACCTGATTTTACCCTTTTAATTACTACCTTCTTATTTTTAACCAGTATTATTACTGCTACCATTTTACCATTTTTTTTTAAAGTGCCATTTTATTTTCTCTTTATTTTATTTTGGGATTAGTGTTCTCCATTCTATTTTCATCGTTATATTATTGGTTGTTTCTAGTTTGCATTCATCTCCAGGGAGCTGTTGCTGGAATTTGTTGGGATTAATGGCTGTTCTATAGGAGTATTCTCCTCATATAAAAAAGTCTCTTCCCCTCTTCCACTTCATTCTCTCTTTTCGCTCTTTTCTTTTCTTTTCTTTTCTTTTCTTTTCTTTTCTTTTCTTGCTTTTATTTTCCCCCCTCCTTTTTCCCAATTTCATTTTTGCACTCCTTTTTTTGGTCCCTACTTTTCTTTTCTTTTTTCTCTTTTATCTTTTTCTCTTCCTTCTTCCTTATCCCCTAATTCTCTTAATTCAGATGATCACCTTTATTTGGGGTTATTAATATCGTGAATATATTTGTGTATAGTGCCTGGTACGTGGTGCCTTGTTGTGTTGTATTTGGTGCCTTTAAATCAACGCAGCAGATCCAAGCAACAGCAACCTCCTGAGCACCACACCCTCTGCTGAGGAACAGCAGCTGTACGTGAAACCTCGCCCCACCAGCCAGAAGAGCCACCACAACTGTGAACAGCACCCACCAGAGGAGCTGCTGCCAACTGAAGAGCAGCTGCTACCGCAACCGCCCGAAGAGCAACCACAGACCAAGGAGTCACTGCCACCAAGGGAGCAACCACTGAACGACTCAACGTCTAGATATGTCAGTGAGATCAAACATGGGTAGACAAAGGAACCCCCAAAGGAAAGAGAAGGAGGACTCTCCAGAAAAGCAGCTAAGTAATAGAGAGGCATGCAACATGACAGAAAAAAAATTCAGAATAAGGGTCCTAGAGTGCATAAACCGGATGGAGGAAAAAATCGACAACCTCTGCAAGAAGCAAGAAGAAACAGATGAAAAAATCGATAACATATGGAAGAAGCTAGAAGAAACAGATGAAAAAATCAACAACTTAAGTAAGACCCAAGAAGAAATGAAGAGTGATATAGCTGCAATGAAAAACTCCATTGAAAGTATCAACAGTAGACTAGGAGAAGCGGAGGACAGAATTAGTGAATTAGAAGACAAGGAAGCAAAACACACCCAAAATGTACTGCAATTGGAGAAAAAAATTAAAAGACAGGAGGAGAGCCTAAGGGAGCTTTGGGACAACATGAAACGAAACAACATACGAATAATAGGGGTACCAGAACAACAGAAGGATGAACAAGGATTAGAAAACCTATTAGAAGAAATAATATCAGAAAACTTCCCCGAGGTGGGGAAGAAAAAAGTCACACAAGCCCAGAGAGTCCCAAACAAGGTGAACCCAAAAAGACCCACACCAAGACACATCATAATTACCATGGCAAATGTTCAGGACAAAGAGAGAATCTTACAGGCTGCAAGAGAGAGACAGAAAGTTACATACAAGGGATCTCCCATTAGATTGTCAAATGATTTCTCAACAGAAACACATCAGGCCAGAAAAGAATGGACGGAAATTTACAAAGTGATGCAAAGCAAAGGACTGAATCCAAGAATACTCTATCCAGCAAGGCTATCATTCAAACTTGAAGGGGAAATAAGAAGCTTCACAGACAAAAAAAGGCTAAGGGAGTTTATCACCACCAAGCCAGTAATGCAAGGAATGCTAAAGGGACTGGTGTAAAAATAAGAAATAAAAAGCTCAGAAAGAAAACAGCCACACAAAAACAGAAATGGCTACAAACAACTACCTTTCAATAATAACTTTAAACGTAAACGGACTAAATGCTCCAAACAAAAGACATCGAGTGGCTGAATGGATAAAAAAACATGACCCATACATCTGCTGTCTACAAGAAACCCACCTCATTAGAAGGGACTCACACAGACTGAAAGTGAAAGGATGGAAAAATATCTTTCAGGCAAATGGAAAGGAAAAGAAAGCTGGGGTAGCAATACTTATATCGGACAAAATAGACCTCAAAGTGAAGGCCATAACAAGAGATAAGGAAGGCCACTTCATAATACTAAAGGGATCAATACAACAAGAAGATATAA